AGAGTACCTGGTATTTGAAACATGGCGGCGGCGCTTACATGCCATGCTGCGCTTCTGATCACATATATGTTTTTGCCATGAGAATGTGCACGAGTAACCAGTCACCCTTCTTGTCAAAACCAGTAAAGTATGTGCAGAGCAACTTAGCTTATCATCGACAACTGGTTCGATTCCTGAGCTAATGCAAATCATGATGCACCAGGCACCGCAATATGTGGCCCTCCATGTTGGAGCCGCAGATCCGTCTGGATTGCGCAAGACTCGCGCCAGACGTCTTCCACGATTCCCGTCGATGCCAGCACTTTGGACGGCTCCAATGTCCGCCCTTGGCCCCCAAAGAAGTACTGGCCCGAAACAGTCTGCAAGATTGTGTTCCGAGCTCAGTCATTGATCGGAGGCCGCAGTGGCAGTGAATCATATTCTGTACATAGTTGGAAAATTTTGTATGTACGGTACATCGACGCATCAGTCCGTCGTGGGACAATGCTGGAAGGATGTAGCAATGACACCATGTGAGTATAAGACCAGCCTTGCTTCGACGGAGGCGAAGTAACTCGCTCAGCAAACCTCCAATGCGGACAAACAGCGTAGTCGGCTACACGGAGCCGAGAAAAGCAATCCTAGGAGCAGCCGGCTTTCGCCTTTCTGCGTAAGTGAAAGCACGGTCCAGCGAGAGTTAGCTGCCTACTCGACCCCCAGGTCTCAAGAGGCCTCGGACACCTTCTCTGAGATTGTTAGAACGAGCCAGAACTGAGAAAAAACTTGGAATTGGAAAGCGCCATTGGTTGTCGGCTGCTAGCGTAGGCAGTCCAATCTTGCCGAGCCAAACTCGGAAGCGCTGTAGACCTTGATAGTGCAGACCCCTCAAAGCTAGGCGCACATCCGGCGAATAGACGGCTGCCTACTGTCCGTCGTTTAGAATGCAATTTATACATTCCTGATTCACTCTATGCGAAGTCATACGGCCTGAGAACTCACCGGGTCAGCAAGAGCTGCGTCCAAAACGGTTTGCGCCCCAACCCGGGCCGGATGCATAAGCCGCAGGATAGCGTATATCCAGACGGCGGGCACGTGCAGCCACCCAGGCACCTCTCGGAGCAAAGCGGAGTAGATGAACCCGGGGTCGGCGACGCTGCAGGACGGACCGGAAATCATGTCTTTGGACATGGTACTTCGATAGGGGATTCGAAAGCATGGAGATGTTGAGCTCGTAAGCCAACCCTATAGCCTAACCCTCAGAGGGACCTGCTCCGCACCATTACCCACCCTAAACCCCGTAGCTCAACTGCACCCTTCTCAAGCTGACTAGCTTCGTGTATTGACAATTACTGTTCCTGAAATGATGTTTTCATTTCAAGATTCCTAGAGAGAGCGCACACGGACGCATCTGCAGGAATGACCGGGCGACTGCACAGTGTGGCCCTCTGCTCACACGTCGCTAGAAAACGGGTTTCTTCCCAAGCCATGAAACGCTGCCTAAAGGCGAACGGTGCCGAGATTACGACCGCCCAGGCGACGCGTTTTCTGTGAACAGCGCCGTATTGGACAGATCAACCGGATTCCAACGAAAAGATGGTATTTTGTGTTGTCCGCTGGTCAACTTACTTGACACTAACTCTTCGGCTCTCCTTAGCCTCCTGGTAGCACCGCTTGTGGAGTGCCAAGGCGTGGGCTATTATACATACTGCAGAGGAAGAGCAAACGAGAACGCTGAACAACTGTATGCTTAAAGAGGTCGTCCGCAGACATAGCGACCGGTGAGCATGGATTACACTGTTCCCGTCGTCGCGACATGTGTTTGACAAAGGTGCCTTTTCAGGTGTCAAGGACGCCGCACAGCCACGTGGGTACATTAAAATTCAAAGCCCACTTCAGACCGAACGGCTGGTCTTTGACTGATTTTGACAAAGCATGAACCAGTCAAATCGCTCCCACCGCCTGAGCTGCCAGGCCACCCGCCGTATTCGATCTTGGAAGTGTCTGCAGGCGGACTGGAGTCCCCCGCACTGACGGAGCGGTTTTGGACCAAGTACCGGCGAGTATCTCCTTAAACGAAGAAACGAGTTTCAGGGGCGATTGCCCTTGTTGAAGGAAAAGGCAATGCCGTTGTTGAAGGGAAAGGTCCGACAAGCGAAGCATACTCGGAAGTGTGTCGGCGCTGCCTCCGGACCGGCAGCACGGACGCGAAATCAGACGCAACAAGCGGGGCAAATAAAAGGGGACCTTCTTTGAGCACTCCGGGACCGAACAGCCTAGTAAGTTTTAGGTGGAATCTTCGTCATCACAATCTCAACGCACAGCAATCCAGCAATCAACGGCGCTCAAGACAAGCTCGGCCAAAACCAGATCGAGCGCAATCTTGTTGGCGAGCCTCACGTTTGGAAGCTTGGTAGCTGTAGGCCGGCGTGTAGAACTGCGGGCCGCCCAGGCGGAACGCGCCGTCAAATCCGGAGGCGAGGAGCTGCCGCCTCACCGGTACGAAGTTGGCTGCAGAAGACGAGGTCTAATTCAGCGTACAACCCTTCATTCCCCGTGATCGATTCGATTTGATAGAAGGTGCTGAGGTGACAACAGAGGCTTCATTGATAAGGCTCTTCGTAGGTCGAGCGATGTTGAGCGCCTGGTCTTCCAATCAATCACATCGGGTTTGGCGATTGACGTTCGGAACAAAGGAGCCTTGAAAACCGGTCTTGTATCACGAGCTGTCGAAAATGCTCTGAAAGTGAGGATGTGGAATCTACCCAACCTGCCAACAGAGGGGCTACTTCTGTCAAAAAAGATACTGGCCGCTATATTGGCAAAGGCGACACGGTATTAACCCAAGGGCGCGTTCGACATTCTGAAAGTTCTGCTGTTGTCAACCTATCACAAGGTGACCTGCACTCTGCATTCACCGCCCGCTGAAAGGACCCTTTAAAATAGTCAGTGATTCACCTGATATCCAAATGCAAATCCTAGGAACGTCACCGACCTTCTTCGTCAAGTGCGTGACACCACTCCGCACTACCACCGTTCACCACGGTGGCGGTTTCGAGGGTATTAACAGCAAAAAAAGGGAGGCTTCCAAAGTCCCGTGTCTCAATCCTCTCAATCCTCGAGGACGGATCTAGATCAGAACAAAGAGGAGACGTCATGGATAAGGACGATATGGACATTCTCATAGAGACGATGAAAGGCAACAAATGTAACTTACCTGCTCTGTGAGTCCAGGAGCCAACATTGACGACCCGGGCATTTGGCGCTGCTTTTTGGAGCAGCGGCAGCAACCGGTTGGTCAGGATGAAATGGCCCAGGTAGTTGGACGCTATCATCCTGCACTGAAGATGAAATTCCGCGGTTTGCCATTCAACCAGTTTGGTTTTCGAGACCAGAGGGACAAAGAGTTTTTGACATTGCGGCATGCCTTCGAGACTCGTGGCTATCCTGAGTCGGAACGAAAGGTTGCGGAATATGGTCTGAACACAGAACACGGGAACTTTGCGAGTGCGGGAAGGCGTCGAGTCTAAATAACACAGACTCGTTCACTTTGCTTAAACTCGTCTACTAAAGTGTCGACGGCTGCGGTTTCGAATGACCGTCACGGAATCAACGTTCACCGATCTGGAGGGGTGCAAACTTGGTTTTTTCAGTGGTAAGATCTGGGCAAGATCTTCTCCAGGATACAAGGTGCTACGAGTTGCGCTCTCGACACTCTCAGGGTTGTCGTACTTTGCACAGACAGATCAATCATTTCGAGGGGCGCAGCTTTGACCTGCATCGTTTTTGAAAATCCATAGCCAAAGAAGAACACAATCGTCTGAACGGAACCCTCACCTGTCTATCCGGTCATCTGTCCACCGCTGAGTCAGCGTGAAGACCCCAGCATTGTTCACCAGCAGGCGCAACGGACCGTGCTCTGTTCCATTTCCCACCAGGGCCTCGACAGAATCCGCAAATGCTAGTATGGACTTGTACAAGCACAGATCAAGTACAGAAACCTGGAGGGAAGCTTTGGGGAAAGACGCCCTGATCGACGCAGCAGCCTGGAAGTAGGAACAGGAGATGATGAGGATTCTGACAAATAGCAATGACGATCTGAGAGGCAATCGGTCAGTTGCACTGTATGGAAGAAGCTGCGCTACTGGCGGTAGGTCGATGATGGGAAAGCCTCTCGGTTTCAAACTCGGATGTAGGAACGAACAGGATACAATTGCCTTTTACCATCGCCAGATTGCGGAAGCAATCTTTCTCATGTCATCTACTGCCTACAGCTCTTGCCGGATTAAGAAATAGCCCTGCGGGGCTTACCTTTTCCCCACTCCCCACTGATCGACAAGCTGCACAAGAGCAAATTTGAGTTCCCTCAGTTCTGTCCTGTCTGCATGGTCTGAACTCGTGATAGCTGTGAAGCGATGCTGGGACGCCATAACGGTAGCCAGAGCTGTGCCACAACAACCACTTACCCCAACCTTGCTAGGGTGTCCAAGTACTTTCCTACGCTTTCAAAGTAGGTGCTTCCATTTGCAGATGTCTTCAAAGGGGGAACTGGGGCACTGGGCCCGCTCACAGAGTGCCTTCTTTCCTGCCACAAAAGAAAAAGCTCTGCCTGCCAGCGCTCCTCAAGGGGTCTGCTGTGCACAGAGACTGAGTTCTAAGGGAAGGGCGTCCAGCTCCCACGGACATGAACCTTTTTTCCAGTGAGGAAGCTTTCACGTACGTGAGCGCCTGCCTATTGGGGAAACTTTCAACTGAAGCTGAAACAGTACAAGGGACCTGGGGGTGGGGAACAGTACATGACCGTGACTCACCAAGGACAACATGAAACCCTTCTTTTGCAAGCTCCCTGGTAGTTGCAAGTCCTAGCCCTGAAGATGCCTGCAATGAAGAAGCATGAAGCAGGTTTCATCGACTTGCACGTGCGAATGAGGGGTGGTGCAAAAGCTGCCGCCAAAAGAAGCCCAGAAAGAAGCCAGGATCAAGCAACACGAGCTTGGAACTTTTGTTGATTCGAGGGTAGCATCATTTACTTTACCGAGTTGTCGAGCTGGTGACAGAATTGCCTCTAAACACCATCAAGCCCTTCCATAGAATGTTTATTCTCAGCAACGAATTATTCATCACAGTACCTTACACCATGGGTCGCTGAGACACAGCAATACGGACAATCGAAGGACACCTCAACGATGCCTCTTACCCCTGTGACGATGGCAACACCCTGCTTTACATCTCCCTTTCCGACACGCCAGGTTCCGGAGCGGGGGCATCTTTTTGCAGCTTTACTCCCTCTGTGCCTCCACCAGACCAGCAGCTTGTCCTTGACAAGGAGGTACACCCAGGTGATCAGCATGAGCCATGCATTGGTGGGCTGCAAGAGATTGCTGATGCTGCTCGAAGGCGCCATATTATTATTTGGCACAACTCCTCGAACAACTTACAAGTGCCCTGCTGCTATTATTACTCATGGAACATCATACACTGATACAGGGGGAGGCCAAACATTCGTTGAAGTTTGAACCCTTATCGCCCGTCCGGATTTTTCGCTCAGCCTTTGGGTCGGGACACATATCTCGTATTTGCCCCGGTCGGAGGCAGCCAGGGCAATATTTGCGTATTGCCCCCGTTTGCACGTGTAAGAGAGGGCGATACGCAGCAGAGCCAATCAGGAGTGAGAATTTTCTTCCTGCGGACAATACGGAGGCCCACGTGATCCAATATTGCCCCGCAACTTAATTTGCCCGGTGAAAGTTCAAGATTTGAATCTGGTCCGTGCGATCGACCTTCGCGAAAAATCGGACGGGCGATAAGTAGGTTATTGTCCTCGGGGTCGGGAATACGGGTGACATTCCCCTCGGGCTCCGCCCTCGGGGAATATCACCCGTATTCCCTCCCCCTCGTACAATAACCTTAACTAATTGCCCCAACCCGGAAATTGGTGGATTCAAACCTCCGAAGGGTCTTGTTTGTTAACCCTTGAGTTTTGGGTTGGGGCAAGAAGGGGTTTAGGAGCTATACTGTGCTGATTCAGGAGGGTTAACCAGGCAAGATTGCTCTAACTACTTGGTAATCAGCCAGAAAACCCAATCTACAGGCCAAACGGGGTCAACACAGCGCCTGGGACACCCCCTAAAGCAATCGGAACCGTTCGATGGAAGAGAAGTTTCATCTGACGGCGCGAAACATGGTTCCGGCCCTTTGAGTGAGGTTTGAACTTTGGTCAGGCCCCCTGGGCCCCGTATATCAAACCTTATACCTACACGATAACCAGGTGGGTAGCCGAATCTGCATTTGCCCGAGAGATCAGCGAAAGTCATAGCGGAGCCGTCCGATGAAAATCTCTATTATATCTACCGCTCGATCGGGTTGGCAATGTCGGAGAAGAAGGGGCCTAATGAAAGTAAACAAACCGTGGACAAAGCAGGAGGTAGCGGGGAGGTAGCGACTTCGAGCTGCTTGCATGGCTGCGGAAGCCATGGCACCCGAGGCTGTGGCACTACAATGCAGCTCACAGCTATCTTCTCTTGCAACATTCATGCTTCTGCTTTACATTTGAGCTCATGTAAGATGATTGACATCATTTTTGAGTCCTTACAAGCCCGCAGCGAGCTTTCTGTAAGGGCAGAAGAAAGTGCTTTTCGCTCCACAAAAACAATACGATACGCTTCGCAGCCTTGGCACAAGGGGCAAATGAGCATCTCTGGAGCTGGAAAAAGTTTCCAAAGCTTGCAAATCAAATACACTACGGATTGTAAAGCTTCATCTATGTGTATCCTGAGTATTTTGAAAAGCGTCGTTGCTGACAGCACTCTAAGTCAAATGAGGAAGCTCGTCGAGCTTGGCAGCCATTTTTGCCATTACGTCAGCATGACATTGCTATTTTAAATTTAAAATGTTCTGCACCGTCCGATGACCGTACCGCGACTTCGGAGACTAAAAAAATACCGGAGCCAATGCGCTATCAGAACGGTCAAAATCCAGATGAGTCGGCTACCCGCCTGAACTGGTAAGACGGTATTCGACAGTGGGAGCACATTCAAAAATTCACATCTTGATGTAGACATCATGGATTCACAATCCGTCTTTTCGAGGTCACGGTTGGGGGCATTGAGAGATTGAGGCCCTGAGGGGACTGAGGGGCATGCCCGGGGCATGTTGGAAGGCCCCTCGAGCTGTGGAAGAGCATGCCAAAGCAAAACTGAAGCGGCGCTGAACAGAATCAACTCGGGGTGAGAGAGATACGGGCTGGAGAGACGAT